CCTGCTGACAGCTGCCCGGCGACCTGTGTGGCCCCCTTGTGGCCCCCTCTGGAAGAACATCCAAATCACGGCTCCGTGGCAACCAGAGCCATCCCTTCTTCCAGCTCAACCCTAAAGAGAACTCTCGAGTGAATGGGGCAGCCCCCGGGCTGAGAGCCACCAGGACCCTGCCCACATGTCCTACAAGTAGCTGGGAAAGGGCCCAGACCCCACCAGGGGGGCCAGGGAGAGGGCCGAGAGTACAGGCCTTCATCATTCCAGTGCCTCCCAGAGAAGATCCGACTGAAAGAACAGACCAAGACCCCTCTTTAGGAAAAAGAAGATTTAGAGATGATGGACAGGTGAAGCACAGCACGAGCCCAGCTGGGCGAGGGGCCCTTGGGGGGACAGCTCAATCCAGAGGCTCCAGGAGGGCCAGAGCCACCCCCCACCCCGGGCAGGGGCAATTCTGTCAAGCACTACACATGGACTCGGAGGTGAGGAGAGAAGCAGAGGAGAGGCAGGGGGAGGGGGTGGGGAGGCAGGGCTCCCTCCCGCTCCACCCCACACAGCCCAGTCACAGCTGCCCCCATAGGGGTTCACATCACCCAAGGGGGAAATGTGCACGTGGTGGTTTTGATTTAAGAACATGAACATCACTGTCTGCCACAGCTGTAGCCATGCCCCAGGGGCCCCGGGCAACCCCCGGCAAACCCCAGGAGTGGGGGCAGGACATGCGCCCCCAGCCTGGCCCCTGCCTCCTCTGAACACTTTCATGCAAACACACAATGGAGGAGTGAGTGCTCCCAGGAGCCCTCCAGGCTTTGGAGCTCTGCTGGAAGCCTCGCCCATGCTTGGGCACAGAGGCTCTGCCCCCAGCAGCGGCCAGGGGACACATGCCACCACCGGGCATGATTTGGGTCACTGTTCCTCTGGCTCCACCTCATCCTCGTCTAAGGACACCACCCCAGAAGAAGCTACGTCAGAGGCTTGCCGCTGCCGTTCCCAGCTGCTCGCTGGCGGCAGGCAGAGCGGCTGGCAGTCCTTGCAGGGGGCTGGCTCCTCCTCAGCGGGAGAAAGGCAGGACTCTGTGAGGGGCGAGTTGTAGAGCGAGTCCTGGGCCTCCAATGGGCCCAGGCTGCGGAAGGCACTTTCCCGGCTGTGGGGCAGTTTGGCGAGGAGCAGCTCGTCGCCCAGCAGCTGGGAAGCCAGGCGGGCCGGGGAGCCCAACAACCCGTCCTCCAGGCTGCACAGACTAGAGCACAGGGTCTCTGGGGACACGGTCTGCGAGCAGTCGCTCTCGGGTTCCACGGAGCCCTGGCGCATAGGCCGGGAGAATCGGTGGCCGGTGAAGAGGTCCTGGAGGTGGGGCCCCAGGGGCAGCTGCCCAGCCATGTCTGCAGGGGGAGAGAAAGAAGACAGCCCTGCTAGCCCCACTTCAATTGGCCAACCTGGAATGGAAGCCGCATCCTCTCAGCTCCACCCTCACAGGAGCTGAGTAACTTGGAGCAAGTCACTTAACCTCTCAGTGCCTCGATTCCCTTAATGGTGAATTGGGGGTTATAAATTTACAGGGTTCTTGAGAGAACAACAGCCTCTGGTACACCATATGAAACAAAATACACAGGGATGCCATACATGGTGCAGGTTGTTCACTGCACGAGGGGAGCCTGTCCGAGGCAGTGAGTGAGGGCTGAAATTCAGCACTCACTCTACCCACCAAGCAACATGCTCTAGCATGGGTCTGTGCCCACCAGATAAAGACATGCCTTTTTCTAATTTGCACAAAGATTCCACATAGGCTAGTAGTGGCCTTGGATAAATGTTAGTTATTATCATTATACCAGGAGTCAAAGCAAGCCTGGAACTCAATTAAACAAAAACACTTGTGGTTCAGGCATCCATATCAGTCCCCTCTAGACCACAGCAGCAGTCTCCAATCTGCTCTAATGTATTGCCCACCTTGGAGAACTTGTTAATTAGCTGGAGGGGTCGGGGCGGGTGGAGGCAATGATCTTCAAAGGCAAAGAGGTGGCGGGGGAAGGTGGCCTGTGAGGTTTGAGCCCAGAAGCTACAGAGAAAGTCAGCCATGTGGTTCAGAGAATGGAAGATGAAAGGAGGGCCTCTGCACAGCTGCACGGCCCCCCGCAGGGTCCCCTCTGCACGCCCTGGCCCAGAGAAAGGTCCACCGGCAGGCCTTGGCTGGAAGGCAAGGATGCTGAGCTGGAGCCAGCGGCCCTGTGGGCAATCCAGGCCCAGCAAGCCTTCCTGTTTGCCTGGGGCCCCAGCCCTGTGAGGAGCTGTGCTGCTGCACTGCGGCTCCTCTGCGCTGCCACAGCCAGCCAGAAGCGGACCCTCTCAGAGAGCAGCTGCTGAGAACGTATCAGTGAGGTCTCTGGGCCTTTTTTTTTTTTTTTTTTTTTTTGTGGTACGCGGGCCTCTCACTGTTGTGGCCTCTCCCATTGCGGAGCACAGGCTCCGGATGCGCAGGCTCAGCGGCCATGGCTCACGGGCCCAGCCGCTCCGCGGCATGTGGGATCTTCCCGGACCGGGGCACGAACCCGTGTCCCCTGCATCGGCAGGAGGACTCTCAACCACTGCGCCACCAGGGAAGCCCTGGGCCTTTTTTTTTTTTTCAGGACTGCAAAGCCCAACTGCACAGACAGGCAGAGAAGGCTCAGCACCTGTGGAAGAGGAACCACTCCATTTCCAACTGCTGACTGCCCACCCACAAGCGTAGATAGCCCACCTACCCCTTGAATGTCAAGGACTGCCTGGACAGAGTCTGTCCCTCTCCTGTCCCCTTTCACAGCTTGAGGACATTCTGGATCTCCCCTTCCAAAACAAAGGCCAAGCTCTGAATCACAAGGCCTATCAGGCAGTTCCAGCCCAGCTGGCAGCACTAGCAATGGGATGTCCCCTCACCTGAGTCAGTTCCCCCAGCAAAGTCCTCATCATAGGATTCATCGGTAGAGTCCTCCCCATCCACTGATGACCATGCCCGGAGCTTGGCTTCTGCAATGGCGAATTGCTCGGCCACTCCTGAGAGGAAGGACACAGAATTCGTTTAGCAGAGAGGATAAACTAAGACTAGGGCTCAGCTTGGACACAGGAGAGGGTAGACACAGGGGTGTAGAAAGACTCCAACCCCCACATCAGGCCCAAGGAGAGGCACACGAGCATCCCTGATAAACCCACCTGCTGCAAAGCGAGCCTCCTGTTCACCCTCACTGAGGTCTGAGTAGGAGGAAAAGGCTGATTCTAGGGCAGCGGGCGAGTCACTTGGCTTGCTCCAGCCCTTCCACTCAATGAGGTGAGCCACTCGGCCCTGGGCCATGGCAGTGGGCTTGGTCACGTGGTCCTTCACTACCTGGGAAATACCTGAAGGTGGGGCAGAGTGAGGAAAGCTGGTAAGGGGAAAGACCAGGGAGCATCTGGGAGGGAAGTGGTAGGGTCCACATGTGCCCTTGGGTGGGAGGAGGAGGCTGGGATTCATCTGAGAAAGAGAGGAAAAGGGAGATCCCAGCAAGAGCTCACAGGATACAGTCCCCAAGGGCATGTGCAAAAGGGCAAAGAAAGGACCAAATGGCCAGAGGCACGGGAGAGGGTGCATACCATGCAGGGAGGATCTGGCCAGCGCAGCGATCTCCTGGATAGTTAGGGCTCTTCGGGACTTGGGCAGCATCGCGACTGTGTCTCCAACATTCACCTTGGGTGACAGCATCAGAGGGTGAGTGCCCCTCTGACAGCAGTGTCCCCCAGATGCCCATACTCCACCCAAGGCATCAAGCGGATGTGGGAGCCGAGAAGAGATGCCAGAGCATCTCAGATGTCCCAGTGGCTGCTGGGATATGTAAGAGGGTAAGAAGCCAGGATCAGCAAACTGTGTCCTCCCAGGGAGCAACAGAGACTCCGTCAGGCCCAAAGAAGCAGAACTGCAGCTAACCCTCCACCGTCCCAGCTTGCAGAGGGGAGGGAAGCAGGTTGGCAAGTAAACGGAGTGGGGCCTTTGAGAAGAGCAAAGAGGAGGGGACAAGGGTATGGGAAGAGGGACTTCCCTTCAGGTCCTCTCCCCCTTGCCCCTCTCCTCCTCTCAGTCTTCTGACCCCCATTCTAGCTGTTTCTAGAGCCAAAACCAAACCCAACACCTTCTCCCCATATCTGGCCCTGCTTCCAGACTTCCTGACTTTGCATCACCCCACCATTCGCCCATTCTGCCTGGCTCCAAACCTCAGCTCTCCCCTATCTTGCTTACCCGTATCTGTTGTTAAGACCTAATGATTCCATCGCCAAACTGTCTCTTATACTACCCTCAACCTTTCCACTCCCACTGCCACTGCCCTTCCTCAAGGACAAGCCCTCAGTGCCCCTTGCCCAGATTAGCACAAGTGGTGGTGCCCCAAGTTCCAACTCACGCTGAGGCTTGGAACACACTGTTTTCTCAGCCCAGAACGTTGTGTATGGAAGTGTTCCCCTCCCCCCCTTCCCATGACTGTCTGGCTCTTTCTCATCTTTGGGGTCTTGGCTGAAATATTACTCTCTCAGAGGGCCTTCCTGGCCACCCTACCAGTAGTCCATCCTCCCTCTGTAGTCTGTAACAAGTCACCATCCTCAATCAACGTACGCCACGTGTGTCATTATGGTCTATTTCCTGTGTTTCCTTATTTCTTGTTGATCTTTAGCTCTTTGAGGAATTTGGTCTCTCTTGGTCACTGCTGCACCCTTGTGTTTAACATAGCGCCTGGTACACAGTAATCTCTCAAAATACATAGGCTGAATGAATGAGGCAAAGTATAAGTGTAAACAAGTAATTTTCCTGGAGTGCAACTGCTCACAATATGTCCCTATTTAAAATCTTTCCTGGACTCCTCCAAGGCCCAGTGAACCGCAAGCTTCACAGTCAGGCACTGAAAGAACCCACTCCGTGAGGCCCCGGCCTCCTTCCAGGCCTGCTTGGAATCCACCACTGATCTCCTCTGCCCAGTAAAAGTCCACTTCCCCACCTTCCCTCCAGGCAAAGGAACGCAGCTTTCCCCTGGGCGAAGAACGCCATCCTTGCCTGACAAAATGCTCCCTACCATTTAAGGCCTGACCCTCAAGTGCCACCTCCCATTACGTTTTCTCTCTCTGTCCTCTTGGATGCCTGCAGCCCCACCTCAGCGATGCCCTTGCATCTGTCCTGAGGGATCTTGGGATGGCAAAGCCTGAGTCTGATTCACCTGGGTTCCTACCTCCACCCTACCCCTGGCTCAGCGCTCCTTGGCAGCCCGGGGAAACGTTTCCCTCAATGAATGAATGAAGTCAGAGGCACACGCCCCCTCCTCGGCATTGCCTAGCTCTCCTCCGTTACGTTCCCACCCCTCAGAAGAGGGACTCCACCTGCCCCTTGACCTCAGGCCCACCCCGTCCCTCCCCTTCAGTACCTGGCTGACAGCGCCCCCAGGGTGGTGCCGGCAGCTTCTGGCCAGGCCTGGGGGGAGGAGCACCTGGTGGGTGTTTCCTGGCTCCCCCCCCCTCCCACCCATCACTCCCCCCCAGCCACCGCCATCCTTGCCTGCGCTCACGCAGCTGCGGCCCAGGCCCAGAGAAAAGGTGTATGTCTCCCTGGCAACCCATCACCATGCAACAGGGTCTCCAGGGATACGGCCCGGGATGCGCTGACGTCAGGGCCCAAGGCGCAAGAAAGCCCGCCCGCTGGCACAGCGCCAAGCAGAGCAGACCGGCATGGGGGCGGCCTTGGGGCCCCGCCGGCCGGATAGCGCCTCCGCTCGCTCGCAGGAAAAGGGAGCCAGGAGTAGGCTGGCGAGGCGGGGTGCGGCACACCCTCCCCACTACCAAAACCAGGGGCCCAGCACCTCTGGCAAGTCCTGGCTGTCCACTGAGGAAGGGCGGGAGGACCGGCTCCAGCCTCGGAGGGTCCGAGCAGATCCCAAGGAAGATAGAGAGAGGCCCCGAGGAAGTTCGATCCACTCCACAGCCCACGCCGGATCCGAGGCCACTGAGGGGTGGGGGGAAGGCTTTTCAGCAGGGCTCCCACTTCTGCCGAGATCCCCATTTTCATCCGGGGTTGCCGTTCCATTTCTCCATACCACCTCCCCCACCTCCCAGAATATAAGCATCCACCTGGAGCGCTCCGCAAGTCTGAAAGCCCCCATCCCACAGCCCTGAACTTCAGGCCTCCGGGGGACCTTTTGTGGCAGCCACTCCCCACCATCCTCCTCAAGATATATCGTGCCATCAAAGCCCTAGGTATGAAACCTAAACTTTGATAAATTCGGAATCTTCTCAGGTTTCTCAGCCTACCCATTCCTCTTGGAAAGCACACCACAGTCTTCCACCACCATCACCACCACCACCACCACCACCACCAACTTGGACCCTTTACAGGCTTGCTCTGGTTCCTTCCTCTCGCCAGCCACAGCTTGTGCGCAGCCCTTTACTCTTCTTTTCTGACAAACCCGTGATTTTTTCTGACTTTCGCCCCAGTCCCCTAAGGCTTTTTCCTAATGCCCTGTTTGGCCCCAACTTGGTTGCTCCTATTTCAGCCTGGTTCCCAAAAATCTAAGCCAGAGTAATTTTCCTCTTGCCACATAAGCATCCTACTCCTCAGCTTCCCATCACCTCCCAAATCACATCTGTGTCCCTGATCTCACCTCTGCGACTTGTCTGACAAGTCCATCGTCCTCCAGGCCCTTCACGCTGCCACAGAAACATTTTGCCCAGCACAGAAATCATAGGCATGCTGGCTGTGTTGATGCAGAGAACCAAAAGCCCAGAACTGCTCCAGGCTCAGCTCCCAGTTCTATTCCTATTTTGGCTCCGGATGCTGAGCCAGTCCCCTCCCCACTTGGAACCTGTGCCTAGTCACATAAGGAGAACACTTCTGCCTCATGGCTTTGAGGAGGTGGGAGTGCCAGGGCCCAGCTGAGCTCTCTGGAACTCAGGGAGATGAGGCTCATCCCCTAGACAGTGCCAACAGGCAATGTACATAACAACTGACCTTTAGCTGGAGCAGCCGTCTCTGTCCCTGAGCCTCAGCCAGCTGGTGGTCCCCAGAAATGCTACCAACCAGAAGGAAGACACAAGGTTACAGGCCATCCCTGGCCGCCAGCTGGTACCTAATCAGGGCTCTTGAGGCTAGTCATGAGGTCAGCCAAACTCTCCTGACTAAAGGAGGGATGACTTCCTGAACCCTAAGCCTTAGCAGGGTCAGAGGAATCAGAGCAGCCTGCTGCTTCTCAGCTTCAAAAGTCATGAGATTAATTTAGGACTACAAATCCCAGAATTCCTCATGTGAACCTAAGTAAAGTACAAATCTCAGCTAGAGTCTTAGCTCCAAAGAACCTCAAGTACCACACATACTAAGGCCTGTGTGACTGACCCCCTGCTCTGAAAGCCCAGGACCCATTCCAAACCCAGCCCTCAATGTCACAAGCTCCTGCCTGGCCTAAGGCGTGGAGAAATCCATGACACTGGAGTTAAGTAGGCTGGCCCACCTCAGACACTAGAACTACGGCCAGGCCCCAGCGTGCACCACCATCTGTGGGAACCAAGGCCCAAGCAGGGATCAGCAGTTGTGGGAAGGATGCCTTGATAGCCTCCCTTGGGCTCCTGTTTCCCTCCACAGGGTAGGGTGATTTTTGTTTCCGTTGGGAGTGGGGTAAGGGAACTAAAACAGTTTTAAGAGGTGAGAGGTGATCAGGTGCTCACAGGTGCCCCCAAATGGGGCCGCGGTCCACTTCATCAACCTGCAGACTCTAAAGCAGGTAACAAGTTTAGTCAAAAACTCCGTGGTAGGGAGCATGGCCAGCGTTTCCAGACTACCTCCTGAAGGGGGTTGGGACACAGCTCGGAGAGGCAGGTTCCCAGCACAGGGCCACTCCCAGGACAGTGAGAGATGTAGGCAGAGGGGGGTGATCGTGAGTGGGCGTGCAAGGCCAGTCGCCACGGGCTGGAGAGGGTTGACCAGCCCCTCTCTAGGCTGTGCGCCTCCTGCCACCCTCAGCGGTGGGGAGTCAGGCGGAAAGACCACGAGTCCACCCCGCAAAGCCCAACGGCAGGCAGCAGGCCTTTAGGAGCGAGCCCGAGTCGGCTTAGCCCCCTCCCGGCTCGGCCCGCTCCCTCCTCTTGCCGGGCCCGCCTCCCCAGTGCAGGCTCCTCCCTCTCCCAACACCAGCCCCCTCCTCAAGGCCCCCACCCCCGCCCCGCGGCCCGCGCACCGGGCAGCCGCAGCCAGACTCCCCAACACCGGCCCGGCCTCCGCCTCTTACCCTGACCCGCCGGGCTCCGAGAGCCGATACAGCCCATGGCCGGGCACCCAGGCACGCTAGCCCGCGCTCGGGGCCCGGGCCATCGCCTTGAAGAGGGTCGGGCCGCGGCCGCCACCGGGGAGGGGAGAGCCCGTGAGAGGGGAGGGGGGGGGAGCCGCGCGTCCGCCAACGCTCCCGGGAGAGGGAACCGGGCTGGTGACGTAAGCGCGGGGGCGTGTCCACCCCCGCGTCACCACCCAAAGCGGGCGGGGCGAAGCGGACGTCACAGCCACACAGTTGGGGTCTGGGGCCGAGTCCGGCGAGAAAAGCTCGTCCTCTGCTCCCAGACCCGACTGCGGAGTGACCTGAAGGCCGGAGGGGTGGGAACCGAAGGGACGGGGCACGGACAAAGACTCACTGGGCCCGTGATACCGGTCATACTGCATGGGAACAGAAAACCTCATTGTGTCCAGGGTTCTCCGCTTTTCAAGATGAGACCTTCAAGCCATAGGTTTCAGCTATAGACGGCCTGAAACCCAGGGCCTTCACACACAGGAGTCTGCGTCACATTCTGGTAGGCGCCGAGACAGGCAAGTGTGTTCTATGAAGTACCCCACAGCTGTGTCCCCCTTCTCCCCTCCTAATCAACAGTGAGCCTTACCATGTCCACTTTGAGGGCCAACCCTCCAGGAAAGACTCCCTAGCCCTCCCGATCATGGACAGGGGAAGAGGCAAGAGGGGTGCCAAGTTACAGAGAACAGTGCTACAGCGCCAGCTCTGGAAAGGAGGTTGCCCACCTACCCAGACCCCTTCTCCAGAGAGAGCAGGCCATAAAGCAGAGAGGCAGTGGGCTTAATTGAATTCATGTTTAATAATTACAGGCACCGTGCCCCCCCTTCCCCCTGCCCAGGCAGCAGCAGGGGTGGTGCAGGGGCTGGGGCTTATGCCCCCAGCAGCGAGGACGGCAGTCCCAAGAGTGATTTTTCAGAAAATAAAAAAGGACCAGGGGCAGGCAGTGGTGCCCCCCCCAAGACACACCAAATTTCAAGACTTTATATATAATATATCTCTGTGCCCCAGGGGGAGGAGAGGGACACCTGGCAGCACCCTGGAGGGGAGCCCCAAGCAGCCCCAAGCCATCCTGCCTCTTCAGCCACTTTATTAGCTCAGACAACATCGCACTACAGGCACCCACTGCCACTGCCGCTGCCGCTGCCGCTGCTGCCACCCCACCTTGCAGTCCGGGCGGCTGGCTTGGCCATCCGAGTGTCCATGGGGCTCCAAGTCCCCGGCCCCACCCTCCCTCAGTTGTGGTCAGACTCCTCCTCCTCGGCCTCACGAAGCCACTTGAAGAAAGCTGTGACAGATTTAAGGGCCACACCCTTGCCCTGCTGTTCAGCGGGGTCCTTGCTACTCTCCCAACTATAGAAGGCGTCCTCCTTCACCACGTCCTCATCGTACAGCGCATCAAAGAACATCCGAAGCAGGTCTGCAAGCAGGCAGGACAGCAGTTACAGGGACGCTGCCCACAACCACTCCATCCCCCCTCCCAGGGATCCCTCCCCTAAGCTCCACTACTGAGACAAGGCCCTGACCCACCGTGCTGACATTTGTGTGTCTGGCCATTCCAGAGTAACTATGTCTCTGACAGGATGCTTATCTCATGATCTAAGAGACTGATGTGCAAGAGTGAGTCACTTGGCCAAAACTCAGAAACCTGCATGCACACCCTCAGATCCACAACCGCTGCCTACGGACAGCCTCCCACCCCCATCCCACAGCAATGGCAGCAACAGATTATTTATCCCAAGCTTGTTCTCCAAATCCCATGCACACCCATCCCGGGGACCCTATACAATCAATTATCCACTCTGCCCTGTATTTTCAAGCCCAAGTTTCTCCCATCTAAACACAAAAGGCCTCCTTTACAACTGCTATCTCTTTATAGCCAAAAAGATCTGTCTTTTGACAAGAGATTAGTTGAATTCAAAGATTTTTGTCTACACTTGCTGTTTTCTTTTCCTCCTGATTCAGGTATTACTCTGTCCTTTCCAATCCAGATCCTGCCCCCTGCTGTACCAAATACTGTTTCTGCCAGGGTGGCCTCCATGTTTTCACACTCCAGAGGCCCTAATTTTCAGATCTGCTCCTATGGAATCCAGGCGCATCTAGCATTACTGACCACTTCCCTCTCCTAAAATCACTCTGTCCTTTGTTCATAGGGTCCTATTCTCCTTTGGTCCCTACCTGTGGGACCTCTACCTCCTCAAGGCTGTAACCCTTGGGCAATCCTATACCCTCTTGTGACTTGCACATGTGTTGCCCTGTGCCAGCAGTTCAAGAGATGGGCCTCCAGCCCTCACCTCTTCCTCTCCAAATGAAATCAGATACCCAGCTGTCTACCTGACTGACATCTCTGATCACCCCCACCAGGACCACAAACTCAACATGACCAAATTCAACTTGACCCAGTGTTCCCTACCGCCCAGTGAACGGCACCCCTCACTATCACCTCACTTGCTGAAACTATCCTGGGAGTCATATATGACTTCCAATCTCTCACCACCCGCCCCCCAGGCCAGTGTGTGTCTTGAATCTGCCCACTCCTCTCCCATCTCCACTGCCACCAGTGAGGCTGAGTCACTACCAACACACCCCTGATCTGCTGATCTGGCCACATTCATTCACCCCACTCCAAAACACTCTTCCCACTAATGGCCTGGATGATCTAAAAACTAAAAAAGAATGTTTAAAATCCTTGCTTAAAATCCCATAAAGGCCCTCTCCTATCCTTAGATTAAAGCCCAAAACTCATCCCATGGCTTACACAGCCCTGCATGACCTGGCCACATCCACCTCTCCACCCAACTTGCCTCACATACAACTGGTTGCTGTGCTCTCCCACCCACACTGGTATTCCTTCAACAGTTTTTACCTTGTGTCATGTTTTCTACCTCAGAGCTTCCCTTAACGCACAGTTCCTTCTTGTCAAGTCTCCCCCTCCCACTTGTCATTTAGCTCCCTTGTGTCAATTCCCACTCATTCTCTGACTAGGTAAATTCTCCCAGAGAGTACCCTTGCAGGACCCATTTTCCAACATTCATCTTGACTCCATGCCAACATGGAAACTATGCTTGACTTAATCACTGCTAATATCCCAATGTCCTGGCACATACCTGTTTGCTAAATGCATTAACCTCAGGCATGTTAACCTAAGCCTCAGTCTCCCAATATGGAAAAGGGGGGAACACCATCTACCCTACACAATAGTTGTGAGGATTAACTGAGGCAAAGAAAAGCAGCTCAGCCCTGTACCAGGCAGAGGGAGCACAGGATACTTGGGAAACTTTACCATTTATCACCTCTGCACTCCTGGCATCTAACAGTTGGCTAGGCACAAAACAGGTAGTCAATTAACCTTCAAGGCCGAGTCTTGCACTTGTAGGTAAGGAAACAAACAAATGTTTGTTGCAGGGGAAAGGACTCAACCATCAGGA